ATGCATTTTTGCCTAGAAAAGTATGTCAGGACTTTTCTGAAGACCCAATAATTTTTTTTAGAAACATCAGATATATTGGCATATTTTGGGACAAGAGACTCGACATCAAAATATGTAAATTTTTTAACTTAATTTATAAATTTGACATGATCCCAGTAAAACAGCCTATTTGAGGAACTAGAGAAGCTTACCCAATGTTCATGTGGAAGAATAAGCAAGGAAGAATAGCCAAAAAAATGCTGAAAAGAAAAAATGGGGCAGGGAGGGGGAACTAGTCTTATTAAATATTAAAGCATATGCAATAAATATGGATAGCAAGGATGTTTAATTACGGCAGTGTTTGTATTAGAGATAGACTGTTAACCATTGAAATACCTTCCTTCCACTATAGGACTAGTTAAGTAAAGATGTTATGTAAATGTTATGGAATACGAAGCAATCATTAACAATAATGAAGTAAATGTATTGATGTGGGAAGATGCTCATGATACATGCCAAAATCCAAAATAGCAAGTTGCAAAACAGTAAATATAATGTTATCTCATTTATGTAAGAAAGGCATATGCACATGTGAACACACATACATTACATGGATGCAAGTGTACAGAAAGGAGGTGGGAATTATGCCCACTAACTGATAGGGTGGGTGGTTGGAGGAAGGATAATAGGGATTTTGTTCTATAAAATTGAGAATGTACTCATGTGTTACCTGTATAATTTAAAAAGACAAAACTCTGGTGGCACAGGCTATAACATGCTAGACTGCAGTGCTGGAAGACACATGCTGACCATGGGTTTGCATCCCCAGATTGGCCTGAAAACATGTCAGGTGTGTGTGGGGGCCCCCAAGATCCTGAGGAGCTGGAAAGCTGAAGAAGGGGAAATCACTGCATGAATAGACCCTGTCAAGGGTGCTTCTTTCTTTCTTTCTTTCCCTCTCTCTCCTTTCCTTGTGTGCACAAGCACTCTTCATCATAATATAAAAAGTAGCTCATAACTTTTCTGTAACAGAAGTTACCACAATCTACTTGCTTATGAACATTTGAACAGAATGAATCACAAATAAAGTTTACATTCAATTACATATTCATTTCTTCATTCATTCAATAAGTTCTTGCTATGTGCCAGGTACTTGGTGTCCACTGGAGATTAATAGACTTTTCTATAATCCAAGGCAGCTCACCCACATGGTTGACTGCTGAAACCAGCTGTCAGACAAGGTGGGAATGAGCCACAGAGCGGTTGATGAGGCTCTTTGGAAGCTACATAGATCAACTGTGTGCAATTAATTGCTACTCATAAACTAAGAAATGGGGCCAGCCCTGTGGTCTAGTGGTTATGGGAATATGATTCCACGTGGCAAACAGTGGTTTGAGTCCTGGCCTTGGTAGCTTGAAAAACAAGGATGTTTTCTCCCTTTCTTCTCTGTCTCTCTCTGGTGAGTGCAGAAACCCTCTGACAAATAAAGGGAAAAAAGTTTCCAAAAGTGGGAGAGAATATGACTGAGACAGAAAAGACAAATCTGATGATGCAAAAAGAGGAAAGCAAGTGATGTTGGAAGAAGCCAACATGCCTCTTGTAAAAGTTTAGCCCTAAAGCCTTTCTAGCTCTTGGAAGCAGCTGTGGAATCAGCTCTGCCATAACTTATACTTTCTGGTCTGCTAAAGAGAAAACCTTGCCCCTTAGACTCTGCATTTTCCTTCTGTAGCATCATAGATGCAGGAATTGGAGTGGCAAGGCATTTCCAGGGCAGCTGCTGGGGACCTTGGGAACCACAGATCTGTGGTTAAATATCTGGATCCTCCTTTTCTGGGAAGGACTTGGATTTATGGGGCCAGAGCCAGAGTATGAAACTTCTCTCAGAGGCAGCATAGACTGCCAAGAACCTGAAGGTCAGGTCGAGTCAAAGCTCTTAGGAGAAAGCAGAGGTTCAATTGACAGCATGCTTGGTACAGGCCCAAATCCAAGGAGTCAGAGGCAAGATTGAGATTGCACGGAGAATTTGGCACTGCATCTCCTCTCAGCTCATCACCCTTTCTCTGAGTTACCGAATTCTGTCCTCATGTTCCTCTTTCTGTCCTCTGGATTCACTTCTTGGCATTGGCCTTTCTGCTAGAACCTTGGCTCTTCTCCACACAGCATTTGGCTCTCTGCCTTGGGCTGCTTGAGGAAAAGCCTCAAGACAACCAGCCCCTAGGACTCTCCTCCCCAGAAGTCAAACCTGTGGCTAGTAGTCACACCTCATCTGCCCTGGTCCCTTTGGTGGGAGGAGACCAGAACCCAGATCATGGGCATTAGAATCTCACTAGCAGATCTCTGGCAAGATCCTGTCTAAGCAGCTCTCTCTTTCCAATTTTGTTCTCTGGTTGCAACACTTGGCAAGGATCTTTCTAAGTGTGAATTCCCAAACTGGTATTCTGGATTAGCAACCAACCACTTGTACATTTAGGTAAAGCAACTTTATCCCTAGACCTGAACACTCTAGGGGAAACCAACCAGATAACGTTTAGGATAGGCACAGCTGGTTCACAACTGAACCACATGGGAAGGATCCTGCACTTGCATCCTGGAACCTCCCTGAGCATGCTGGATGTGTATGTGTGCATCTGTGATCTGGCCAACTGAGACTAGGAGTAGATTATAGCGTGAGGACCCTGTTGGAGGAGGGTCCTCTTTCTCCCTTTCAGGAGACACAAGTAACAAAAAATTTTTTTTTTTTTTGGAGTTTTCGCTATAGGGCGCGTGCGCTCACCAGACAGACAGAGAAAGACATAGAGACAGAAAACGAGAAATCACCCTCCCCCAGGGGGGATGGTCACGCCACAATCCCTTCTCCTCCATTCTCCTCTTGGGATCTTGGGCACGCACGCACACACACCCAGTGTGAGTTCTAAGTCACCAGGTCCGGGACACGAACCGCGGTCGACTACGTGGGAGTCCAGCGACATAGCCATTACGCTAACTGCTTATTCCCAAGAACTAGTCTTTTTAAGATTTTATTTTACAAAGAACTAGTCAAAAAAAAAAGTCAAGTTCCTTTTTCCTTACTTTTTGTTTTAAGCGTTTTTCTTTTTTTGCCTTAGGGCATGTGTGCTCACCAGAGAGAGAGAGACAGAGACAGTGCGAGGGAAAGTGCAGCCATGCTGCAATCCCTTCTCCTCTATTCTCCTCCTGGGATTTTGGTCATGTATGCACACATGTCCGGCATGAGTTTCAAGCCACTGGGTCTGGGACTCCAACCAAGGTCAACCATGTGGGAGTCCAATGTAAGTGCTACACTATCTGCTGGCCCTGAGGCATAGTTTCTGAATCCTTACATTTGAGAACTAATCCTTATATCCTTTCAGAAACAGACCCTAGACACCTGGGATGCTCTGCTTATATAGGCAGCCAGTTTCTTTATCACCTCATCACTGAAACAGGCAGAGCCCAAGAGGTGATTCTGTAATACAGGATCCTGTCTAGGAAGATGGGCTTAAAAAGGCGTTCTGAGGAGGGTCCTTGGACAAAACGTAAATAAAGGATATGCTAGCATATGGTGGTAGGGGGAGGTCAGTGGCAAGGGAGGAGGCATAATGGGAGAGTAGTTAAGAATGTAGGCTCTGTCTATGTTTATATCTCAGCCCAACCTTTTACCAGCTGTGAGACTCTGGGCAAGTTCTTTAACCTGTCTGTAGGTCCATTTCCTCATGTGTAAAATGTGACTGTTAGATTGCCCCTGAATGGCCTTTAGATAATTTCCTGTCAGAAACTAAGAAGATGGTTGCAGCGACCTTCGGCCAGAACCCTCCAGCCAGAGCCCTCCCTTACTGGCAGATGATGCTCATAGATGTGCCCACAAGATCACAATAGCAAGTAAGCTAATCAAAGTACCCATCATTTTCATGACCCTACTCTTCCACTCCTCTCATATATATAAATACATCATGTCTCCTCAATAGGGTGGGCTGAGGCACCTCTAGTTCAGAGCCCTGGGAGCTCTTCCTCTCAATAAACTTTTCTTTTTCTCTTGAGATGGTGCCTCCTGAGTCTTACACAGAACCCTGACAGAGAACATATCGTAATAGAATTTACCACTATGTTATGAGAATTGAGTGAGATCATACCATAAAAGACTTAGGACAATCCCCAGTAGGTAGGAAGCATTTCTAGAGAACAGAGTGAGGCTAAGGAGGTGCCAGCAGGGAGTAAAGAAGGAAGGAAGGGTGTAAGAAAGATGGATAAACTTCGCCTAATTTTCACTTTTTTCCTAGGGACAGTCTTGAGTATTGTAGGTGTTTAACATGAAACATATTTTTATGATTTATAAATTTCTCTGTCATTACGGATTTCCAGTGCTACCTCTGTTCTTGACTCACTATGTAACTTTGGGCAAGTCTGTTAATATCTCTGTGCCTCAGTTTTTCCAAATGTGAAAGTAGGTGCTTACAGAAAACTGTTCAGTTATTCCTAACATTCCAGTTCTTTCTTATGTTTTTGTCTTTTTCTCTGGGAAAGTGTTACAGGTTGAATTGTGTCCTCTCAAAAAGTATATTGAAGTCTTAACTCCCCAGTACCTTTGAATGTGCCCTTACTTAGAAATAGTGAAACAATTATGGATGTAGGGGCCAGCAGGTGGCATAATGGTTAAGGCACTGGACTCCCACATGGTCGACCATGGTTCGAGTCCCAGACCCTGCAGCTTAAAACTCATGCCAAGCGTGTGTGCATCCATGCCCAAAATCCCAAGAAGAGAATGGAGGATAAGGGACTATGGTGTGGCCATCCCCTCTAGGGGATATTTCTCACTTTCTATTTCTCTGTCTCTCTCTGTCTCTCTGGTAAACACACATGCCCTATGGCATAAATCTCTCTCAAAATTATTATTAGTAGTAGTAGTAGTAGTAGTAGTATGGATGTAATCAAGTTAAGGTTGGATTAAAGGTGGCTCTAACCCAATATGACCGATGTCCTTATAAGAAGAATAGAAGACAGACCCACGAGGAGAAGATGGCCATGTGATGACAGAAGCACAGACTGCAGTGATGCAGCTACAAGCCAAGGAACACCACCGCTTGCCAGAAAACAACAGAAGTAAGAAGCTAAGAAGTGGTAACGAATAAATCTCTTCTATAGGTTTCAGAAGGAGCAAGTCCTGCCATGACCTTGATTTTGAACTTCTAGCCTCCAAAACTATGAAAAAATAAATGTCTGTTGTTTCAAGTTGCCTAATCGATGATATTTTACTATGACACCACAGGAAATGAGTTCTGCATTTTCTTTAAAACATATCTTGTGCTATCAAACTGTTATTTCCTAGGCTGAACCTGCTTTCTATCTCCATTTTGTTTTTTACAAAAAGTTTATTTGGGGGAACCAGCAGTTAGCGTAATGGCTATGTCGCTGGACTCCCACGTAGTCGACCGCGGTTCACGTCCCAGACCCGGTAGCTTAAAACTCACGCCGGGCGCGTGTGTGTGTGCCCAAGATCCCGAGAGGAGAATGGAGGAGAAGGGATTGCGGCGTGACCAT